CATTATGAGAAGCTCTGTGTCCCTCTGGAAAGTCTCCCCCAGCTGCTGCTCCTTGGGCCCTCTGCAAGAACATTTGGTTTTCAGCTCAGTTTTGTCTTTTAAAAAAAAAATAAATCTATTTTCAAATTCAGTGTAAATCTGTTTAAGAAGTTCCTGCTGGGCTAGGACCCTTCCAGCCATTCAGGCTCAGAGATAAGGCTGCCTAAACCGGGTGGTTTAGGCAAAGAAGTAGGCTATAGAGAATTCTACCCAAAAACAAGAAGCCATTTCAGTATGAATTCCTCACACCATTTGTCAAGTCCCCATTATGTCCACAGGCACCAAGCAAGACAGGTCCACCAGGCTCCCTTCTGTCCCACGAGGAGGTACACAGAAGAAGGGAAAGTCAGACAGGAGAGTGAAAGAGACATCCCTAGTTGGCAAAATGAGGAAGGCTCACAAACAGCGCAAGCTATTCCTGGCCCCATGTCCTCTTCAGCTGTACTTCAAACACAAGTCAGACTTGTTTCTCTCTCCTTGCATGGATGCCCCTCCAAAACCCAGCATAATCCACCAATTCAGCAGTTGGCTGTAAGAGCAGCCTTGGGACTTGCACATAACTAGGCTTGGTGAGTCACTTTCAAAAGCATGTCAGAGTTTGTAATTAAGACTGTGGTTTATTAACAATGCATCTCTTATTCTTACTAGGATATAAAAGGTATGTCAATAAATACATTCCATCATATATTTGGGAAGTCTCAGGAAGTCTCAGATAAATACAACTACCTACATCTTTAACATATGATCAGGTGCCTGAGTTACACCCTCAGGCAAGCTTGGTCCAGGCTTGCCAAGACCATCTTGTTCTCCCAACCTCTCTACCTTTGATGCAAAAGTCCCAGCTACAGTTCTCCAGGCTGTATATCACAAAAGGCCACTCTAGATTATAATTGTCCTTTCCAGCACCAAGTTACTAAATATCTGCCAATTTAACAGATGTATAGCAGCACACTTTGCCTACTTTTTTTTTTTAAATGTGTACTAGGAAAGTGTTTGACAAAATATTTTTCAATCCAACAGACAAGGATCTAAAGTCACCCAGTGCTGCTTTATGCCTGAAGCACAGCTTCAGTCTTGTTTCAAGCCTCAAGAGGGGAAAAAAACATCCACTCCCTCCAAACAGATCACTGAATATCCCCAAATGACTATTAGCAGCATTTCTTCTAGAGGTGAATTAGGCCCAAAACATGGAAAAGGAGGTTTGACAGAGTTTGAGGGAGGCAAGACCAAAAAAATAGAATTGTAACGAAAGATGAAAACATAGAGCACGTTCACCAATACCGTTCTTAGTAACTCTCCAGAAGTCTGTTACCTGGCTCTGCTGACCTAAGGCTCTGTCCCTATTAAATACAGCTTATTCCATGAGTGGTGGGGTGGAAACAGCTACAAAAGGAACCTACTCAACATCAGCACTTCCTAAATTGTACTCAATATTCTTTTAGGAGATAAACAAGAAAAAAAGCTTTAAGGTCAGTATCTTCCCAAAAAATTGTATTAAAAAAAAAAAAAGAGAACTTCGGCTAGGGCAAACCAAATAGTTATTCAGTGCTTCCAGCACAATAGCTGAAGGCTTTGCTAGACATCTCTGGGTACGTACCCTTCACATCTTCTTCAACAGAAACTTTTTCTTCACTCTTCCACATGAAAAGTGAAACACAAGTTACACATGCTGAATCCATAATCCCTTTCTTCTCCTCAGCACTGAAGCCTCAAATTCCACTCTAGATTATGTCATAACAAGTCTATCTGTGCCAAGAGAAATCAGGTCTAAGAAAGTATCTAGTCAAATATCACAAACACATATTATACCAAGTATGCTCCTTTCCAAGATCATTACATCTTATGGTTTCCTGATAGCACTCCTTTTCAGGTAGAGACCACCAACTTTACTGAGTCAGGTTCCTCTTCTACTTGGAATATGCAAAGAGTAACATGGGAGGGGAACACTACCTTTCAGACAAAGAAAAAGGATAAAAGAAAATTAAGATAACAACCCAGAAGAGGTCACTCTGACTACACTTCAGAGACTACCTACCTTTAGAAAACAAACTCAAAACATGGAAATCACCATCATGCACCACAAGTACTAGAACAGGTTCTGAAAATAGATTCCTTTGTTCTAGGTGGGTTTCCCCTTAGATTGCTTCAATATCACCATTGATTCCAGGCCCTGATTCTACCTCCCAGTTCTCTCCTAAAAATTGCTTCTCCTTTTAAGCAATGTGGGGTTTTCTCCTTAAGTAAAGAAGAAAACAATTTCCACTCCCAAAGGTTAAAGCACTTCCCCCTCCCCACACAGCTGAAGTTTTGTCACAGCTTTAAACCAAAGCATTACACTGTGTGAGGCAATAAAAGGGTCTCCCCCAGCATGTAACTCGCACTGTTAAATGGAAGGCAAAAAAGCTAAATAGGAAGCCAGAATCCAGTAGCTCCAAGTTCCTTACCTCTCACCAACTCAATTTGCAAATCCAGGGTATGGGAAAAGTCCAAATCGCTAAAGCTAAAGACCACTGGTGCCATCTGGAGGCCATGCAGAACAGCCCACGGAAAGTTTTCTGCCAACCTCTGCTCACACTTGAGCGTTGTCCGCCAAAGAGAGCTTGCCAGCACTTGCTGCACAAACATACCAAATCTACAGCCACAGAAGAAGGGAAAGTTTAAGAGTAATTAAAGCTATTGGTTGCAATAAATTTATACCTATCATGTGAAAGCATTCAACTACAAGTGTGGCCGCAAGCCTTTAGCCATAGCTAACACTTGATCCAAAATTGCTGTGGGCAGTTTAAGTTCAGTAACAGAACTAGAGTTACCCTTCAGAGTCAGGACTGTCCTTAACCAGAGATAACATCTCATTATTCATAGAATCATAGAATGGTTTGGGTTGGAAGGGATCTTAAAGATCATCTAGTTCCAACCCCTCTGTCATAGGCAGGGAACCCCTCCACTACACCAGGTTGCCCAAAGCCTCATCTAGCTTGGCCTTGAACACTGCCAGGGATGGAGCATTTACAGCTTCTCTGGGCAACTGGTTCCAGTGCCTCACCACCCTCAGAGTGAAGAATTTCTTCCTTAGATCTAATCTAAATCTGCCCTCTTTCAGTTTAAAGCCATTGCCCCTCGTCCTATCGCTACACGCCCTTGTAAAAAGTCCCTCTCCAGCTTTCCTGTAGGCCCACTTTAGGTACTGGAAAGCTGCAGTAAGATCACCCTGGAGCCTTCTCTTCTCCAGGCTGAACAGCCCCAACTCTCTCAGCCTGTCTTCATAGCAGAGGGGCTCCAGCCCTCGGATCATCTTCGTGGCCCTCCTCTGGACTCGCTCCAGCAGCTCCATGTCCTTCTTGTGTTGGGGACTCCAGAGCTGAATGCAGTATTCCAGGTGGAGTCTCAGGAGAGCAGAGAAGAGGGGCAGAATCACCTCCCTCAACCTGCTGGCCACGGTCCTTTTGATGCAGCCCAGGATACGGTTGGCTTTCTGGGCTGCCAGTGCACATTGCCGGCTCATGTTGAGATTCTCAAACACCAGCACTCCCAAGTCCTTTTCCTCAGGGCTGCTCTCAATCCATTCTCTGCCCAGCCTGTACTTGTGCTTAGGATTGCCCTGACTCATGTGCAGGACCTTGCATTTGGCCCTGTTTAACTTCATGAGGTTCACACAGGCCTGCCTTTCAAGCCTGTCCAGGTCCCTCTGTATGGCATCCCTTCCCTCCAGCGTGTCAACTCCACCACACAGGTTGGTGTCGTCAGCAAACTTGCTGAGGGTGCACTCGATCCCACTGTCCATGTCACTGACAAAGATGTTAAACAGCACCAGCCCCAATACTGACCCCTGAGGAACACCAGTCATCACTGGTCTCCACTTGAACATCAAGCTGTTGACCACAACTCTTTGAGTGCAACCATCCAGCCAATTACTTATCCACTGAGTGGTCCTTCCATCAAATCCATGTCTCTCCAATTCAGAGACAGGGATGTCGTGTGGGACAGTATCAAATGCTTTGCACAAGTTCAGGTAGGTGGTAGAGTACAATGGGATGAAGCCCTGGAGGGAAGAGGGGCACAAGAAAGCTGGTTAATATTCAAGGATCACCTCCTCCAAGCTCAGGAGTGGTGCACCCCAACAAAGAGGAGGTCAGGAAGGAACACCAGGAGGCCTGCATCGATGAACAAGGAGCTCCTGGACCAACTCAGACGAAAAAAGAAGGCCTGCAGAGGGTGAAAGCAAGGACAGGTAGCCTGGGAAGAATACAGAGCAATTGTCTGAGCAACCAGAGATCAGGTTAGGAAAGCTAAAGCCCTGATAGAGTTAAATCTGGCCAGGGACATCAAGGGCAACAAGAAAAACTTCTATAGATATGTCAGTGATTAAAAGAGATCTAGGGAAAATGTAGGCCCTCTCCGGAAGGAAACGGGATACCTGGCTACCCGGGATATGGAGAAGGCTGAGGTTCTCAATGACTTCTTTGCCTCAGTCTTCACTGGCAAGAGCTCCAACTGCACAGCCCAAGTCACAGAAGGCAAAGGCAGGGACTGGGAGAATGAAGAACCGCCCTTTGTAGGAGAAGATCAGGTTCGAGACCATCTAAAGAACCTGAAGGTGGACAAGTCCATGGGACCTGATGAGGTGCATCCACGGGTCCTGGGGGAACTGGCAGATGAAGTTGCTAAGCCACTATCCATATTTCACAAGTCGTGTCAGTCTGGTGAAGTTCCCAATGATTGGAAAAAGGGAAACATAGCCCCCAACCTTAAAAAGGGAAAAAAAGAAGACCCAGGGAACTACAGGTCAGTCAGTCTCACCTCTGTGTCCGGCAAGATCATGGAGTAGATCCTCTTGGTGTCTATGCTAAGGCACATAAAAAATAAGGTGGTGATTGGTGACAGCCAACATGGCTTCACTAAGGGCAAATCCTGCCTGACTAATCTGGTGGCCTTTTGTGAGGAGGTTACAGCATTAATGGATAGGGGAAGAGCAACTGACATCATCTACCTGGACTTATCCAAAGCATTTGATACTGTCTCACACAACATCCTTGTCTCTAAACTGGAAAGACATGGTTTTGATGGATGGACCACTCGGTGGATAAGGAATTGGCGGAATAGTTGCACTCAAAGAGCTGTGATCAATGGTTCAATGGCCAAGTGGAGACCAGTGATGAGTGGTGTTCCTCAGGGGTCAGCACTGGGGCCAGTGCTATTTAACATCTTTAATATCCCATGGACAGTGAGATCGAGTGGACCCTCAGCAAGTTTGCAGATGACACCAAGTTGTGTGGTGTTGTGGACATGCTGGAGGGAAGGGATGCCATCCAGAGGGACCTTGCCAGGCTGGAGAGGTGGGCCTGTGAGAACCTCATGAAGTTCAACAAGGCCAAGTGCAAGGTCCTGCATGTGGGTCGAGGCAATCCCAAGCACAAGTACAGGCTGGGTGGAGAATGGATTGAGAGCAGCCCTGAGGAAAAGGACTTGGGAGTGCTGGTGGATGAGAAGCTCAACATGAGCCAGCAATGTGCACTGGCAGCCCAGAAAGCCAACCGTATCCTGGGCTGTATCAAAAGAATCGTGGCCAGCAGGTTGAGGGAGGTGATTCTGCCCCTCTACTCTGCTCTCCTGAGACTCCACCTGGAATACTGCATTCAGCTCTGGAGTCTCCAACACAAAAAGGACATGGGCCTGTTGGAGCAGGTCCAGAGGAGGGCCACAAAGACGATCCGAGGGCTGAAGCACTTCTGCTATGAAGACAGGCTGAGAGAGTTGGGGCTGTTCAGCCTGGAGAAGAGAAGGCTCCGGGGTGATCGTACTGCAGCCTTCCAGTACTTAAAGGGGGCCTACAGGAAAGCTGGTGAGGAGCTTTTTACGAGGGCATGTAGTGATAGGACAAGGGGCAATGGCTTTAAACTGAAAGAAGGGAGATTGAGATTAGATCTAAGGAAGAAATTCTTCACTCTGAGGGTGGTGAGGCACTGGAACCAGTCGCCCAGAGAAATTGTGGATGCCCCATCTCTGGAAGTGTTCAAGGCCAGGTTGGATGAGGCTTTGAGCAGCCTGGTCTAGTGGAAGGTGTCCCTAGCCATGACAGAGGGGTTGGAACTAGATGATCTTTAAGATCCCTTCCAACCCAAACCATTCTATGACTGCATCCCATGGGAAGGACTCCTGTTGGAGAAGTTCACGGAGAACAGTCTCCTCTGGGAAAGGACCCCACGCTGGAGCGTGGGAAGAAGGTAAGGAGTCATCCCCCTGAAGAGCAAGGAGCAGCAGAAACAACATGTGACGAACTGACCTGCAACTCCCATTCCCCATCCCCCTGCACCACTAGGGGGAAGGAGGTAGAGCCAGGAAGAAAGGAAGGATGATTTTTTTTAAGATCTGGCTTTGTTTCTCATTATCCTCTCTGAAGTGATTGGTAATGAATTAAATTGACTTTTTCCCAAGTCAAATCTGTTTTGCACATGACCATAATTACTGAGTGATCCTTCCCTGTTCTTGTCTCCAGCTTTTTGTTATGTTTTCTCCTCCCCATTCCACTGGGGTGGGGAGGAGTGAGCGAGTGGATGCACGGTGCTCAGTTCCTGGCTGGGCTAAACCATGACAAACTATTACTGGGAACAGCAAGCACATATTTTCCAGGAACAAATCACATCTGATGCCTCCTGATTGCCTTCTAAGCAATCATCTAGGATGACATGAATGGTTCTGGGGATAAAGGAAGTGTAGTGGATGGCATGGCTCAAGACCTGAGCACTCAAATGGCCCCTGCAAAGCCAGAGGAATGGGCAAACAGAACACTCATGAACTTTAGCAAAAGCAAATACAAAAGTCTTACAAGTGGGAGGAATAACCCTGTTCAACAGTACAGGCTGGATGGGCAGAAATGGCTCAGCAGAACAGACAAGCAGCCCTAGTGGACAACAGGCTGAACACTGAACTAGCAGTTTGCCTTTGCAATGAAGGCTAACTACATGCTGGGTTGTATCAACTAGTGTGTAGCCAGTGGGTTGAGGAAAGTGATTAGTACATCTTACTTGTGAGTGTTTAGCAAGCACTGGACACGCATCTGGAACTTATGTGTCCAGCTATGAGTCTCCCAATATAAGTATTGACTAAGTGGTACAAGTGTGGCAGAGAACTATTAAAACAGGCTGAAGAACATGATATACAAGGAGAAGCTGAGGAGAAAAGGATTGTTTAGCCTGCAGATAAGAAAGCTAAGAATAGATCTAACTGCTATGTTCAACTCCTTAATGCATGGCTATATAGACAGAATCAGACTTTTCTCAAAGGTGCATAGCAGAAGAACAAGAGGCAACAGTCAAACTGCAACAAGGAAAATTCTTAATAGATACAAAAAGCACACAAACATGCACAGTGAGAACAGTCAAATGTTGGAACAGGTTGTCAGTAAAGACTGTGGAATCTCCATTCTTGGAAGATACTCAGAACTGTATGGTATAAGGCCATAGAGCACTCACCCAAACTTTGAAGAAGGTCTTTTCTGGAGGAGGAGGTTGGACTAAAAACCTCCAGACTTCTCTTCCTACCTAAATAATTTGATGATGCTATCGTAAGGGATTCACTAGAACTGTCTGACCTGTGTATTTCAGTCAAAAGAGTGTCCTTGTTTCCTTCCTCATTTCCTTCCCTAGACCTCTAAAACTGTTAAAAGAAAAAAAAAAAAACAAACCAAAACAAAAACCCCAAAGCATACACATCCCCACATACACTTCTCCCCCAAGCAAAACACGTTTACTGTCAGAGATAAAAATGCTACCTATCATGGAATTTGCATGCTTGTCCTCAGATGAGAACACTTGTCCTTTACACACGAACTTTTCCAGAACTAAACGCCTTTGTCCAACAGAACTACCTTTAAGACACTAATGATGGTAGAAATCCTGTTTTGGAGGCCTGCTATGCACTGCTCATTTTCAGAACATCCTAGAAATCCACTCATATATTCACAATCGATGATCTTTTTTCCCTCTTCACTTTCCAGTAACGTGCAATATTAGCAACTAACAATTCAATTGCTGATTCCAAAGAGAAAAATCTTGCATGCCAGGTATGTTTAAGGCTCCTTTTCTAAAATGAATATAGTTGTCAAGTTTTTCACTGACCAAGCTGAGCTATGCCATACTGTCCCCCTTTAGGGAAACAATCTCTTCACATTATCTTTGCAGGCAGAGGCACATTACAACACACCTGAAGGGATCTGTTCATCAATTTAAAGGAGAATACTTCTCGTGGGATGATTATTAATATATCCTTCTGGATTTAGTATCTGCTTTGGATAAAGGTAAGTTGGATTCAGTATCTGCCTAAGTCAGAGCCATGCAGGCTTGAACTCTAGAGATACTCTTTCTGGGTACGACAGATGCGCTTATAAGACAGATTCAACATTGCTTAAAACTGTTGCAGAAGACAGTCCTATGATGTTCTCTTCTCCAACACTGCTACAGTTAAGTTTCTGGTCTGTTGGAAATTCAAAGAGGTGATTATTTCAAATTTATTAGTTACTATAGACAGGTATTTAGCTAAACTTCTGTGATGAAGAGAAACAGGTATTTTTGGTAGACAAGTGTTCCTCCTGGGAATCTTAAGTATCTTTCATTACTTACATGCAAAAGAAAATTGACATTTTGCAGGGTAAGAACAGTTACTCAAATAAACTAAACCCACTTACTCAATACTGTAGAAAATACAGATACTGACCTAAAATTTAGAAGAGCAGTTGAAGTATTAAAACAAAGGCCAATACAACCAACAACAGATCTCCAACTGCTTTAATCTTTAGGATTAAACAGAAATTGAGAAAGTTTAGATTCTCTCCACCTTGGAGGATGGAGAAGAGGCATAAGAGCACCAAGAGTCCAAAGAGGTTTCAACCTGACCTTGAGAATGAACATGCCAGCAACGGTGTGCGAGAATGAACATGCCAGCAACGGTGTGTGTGGCCATTCAACTCTTAAGAGTTGAAAACTTGCTTTATTTATTACATATGTAATAAAGACCCTCACTAAAGATCCTATAATCTATATAAAGAAAACTGATGAGCCACAGCATGATGAAGTATCATGTATTTTAACTCCATAGAACTCCCTAGCTGGCATTTCCTCATTTGCTATTGTGTCACGAGTTCATAGGCAAGCCAAGACATATCTGGATCACCAAGCGTAGGCACATTCAGAAAGTAGAAAGAAGAAACCTCCCCTACCTGGCCAGTCCTTCCTCGTAGAGATAGATGACAAGTGGATCATAGGATGTAACCAGAACATAGAGGCGCACATCGAATTTGAAATCTGAAATAACAGTTGTCAACAGTCAGTGACTGCAAATATCTTTCAGATGTCACATACAGTTGAGGAATTTCAACAGACCCTGAGAGCAATAAATCATTATCCATGGCTGACGTATGTGCCTGAAGATCTCCCAGCTGAAAAGTTTCCAGGTTTTAAGGAATTCTCTAGTTACATTTTTCCAATACTAGTGGAAAATAGATCACTCAATTATTCAACTAAATTCCTGCAAAGGTTGCAGAGATTCTCAGGTGTGGGGTTGGGGTAAGAGAGAAAAGCAATCCCTAAGCACACTCACCATCTATGAGCAGGGGGTTGCTGATGTAACGAGAAACGAGGATGTTGTCTTCCAGGACAATCTGGTTTGGCTAGAGAAGAACAGAGAATCCAAGAGTGAAAAAACAGGAGGCCTAAGGAAGAAGACGACAACGACTAGATCAAACCATCATTTTTTCCAGCCTTTCTCTCCTAAAGCCACTCTGTAGCAACAACCATGTCTGGGGAGGGAGGAAACAAAAACAAAATGAAAAAACACCACTGTCAGTCACTACATACTTAAGGTAATTAGATCCTAATGAGAAGCCCGGGAATTATTACATTGCCAAAAAACCTGCCCATTGAATCTTCTAGTTAAGTGCTCCTTAGAGTAGAATAGTTTTAACAGCCACAGGGCAATGATGTAAAATAGGCAGGAAAAAAACACATCTAAGAAGTGAATGTCATTCTATTTGCTTCCCAAGTGTTTGACCAAACACATGTAGGAGGGGTACAGAAGACACTGGAAGGAGTATGTAACTACAGTTAGTGAAGAAGTCACAAGTGAAGAAAATGACTCCTCAACTTGTGATCTTTATAGCTAGATCCTGGGCTGGTATCCAACCTTTTTGTCTACAGGAGTAAATACCTTCGGCTGAGGTTCAGTTCACAGCAGGGGCTACTGTACCAGGAGGACGCTGCCCTTGTAGCTCATAACAGAAAGCTCTATCTATGACAAATATACATGGCAAAGTCATGGGGGTCTGTTGAAAAAGCTTTTACTTTCCACTGTATGCAATTCTCTCTGGTAACCAGTTTTAACTACTCATACAAACAGTTTCTTGCAAAACATTTGCTTGCCTTCAGTTTGCAAAAGAGCCAAGACAACTTCATCATCCTGCCTTTATCCAATTTTGCATGTATTCAGTCACATCACCAGCATCATGAGCAGGAAGCCTAGGCATACAGAGTGCACATATACTACGTTGAGGGAACAAGCTCAACTTCCCTCGGCACATCACACAAGAGCAACAGCCTGGTTTAGTATGGATCAGAGAAACTGAAAGGTTTGTTGTTTTGCTGGGGTTTTTTTGTTACAGTTTTTAAACACTTTTGTGATGAGATTCTAGAAGACACTCCCTTAATGGCATCACACTGAAGGAAACTGAAGTCTTTGGGCCAAACTAGCTTAAGTGTTTCTGGAACACATATACACAAAGGGAGATTGGTCCCAGAAGGGTCTTTTCCCCAGTTCATGGCCAACTGCCATATAAGCCTGAGCTCGTTCCTCTCTTTCAAGCAAAGAAAAAGCTGAGTGCAGCTCTGGAAATACTTACCTCATACACTTGGCAAATTGCTCCCTTATTTTATGGGAAATGATCCAAGTAGAGAACAGATGAGGCAGCATGACCCTTTCGGTGCAGGGGAGGCTAAAGGGGTTTGAGTGAGTGAAAACAAAATGACTCACCAGTCAGTTTTACTGCTGAGAATATTTATTGGAATCCCCTCATGTGTTTGGCTCCTGCCCAGATGTATTTGTTACCTATGACAATCTAACTCCCTGCAAAGCCCAAAAAGGGCAAAAGACACTATAACCAGCACATTGAATTCAAAGAACCATCTCCATTACACCACAGTAAGCGCACACAGCTCCTCGATTGATTGATACACATCCTACTGTGCCACATAAGGTTTCATTTTAACTGGTCTTTTCCAGGAGGAAGAGGGAGACAAGGGGACTGTTTAGGTTGCTCGGGGAAATGTCTAAGGAGAGTTCTGGGAATCTTCCCAAGGCCAGCCTACTGTCAGCCTCAAGGAGAGCATAATGCAGCATAGCTTCCCAAACTGTGTCAAGGAGCATGAACTTGCTCCTAATAAACTAAGATTTGAAAGGACGTTGCAAGATAAGCACAGCATACAAAGAAATAGATTGCTTTTGGTTACGCAGCATAGGCCCAGGCAGGCTTTGCCTGCTGCTCAGGACTGAACTGCTCACCAATGTATGACTGAAATCCAGAGCAGGACCAGTGTCTGGTTAGATGTTTCCATGTTCCTTGCCTGGAAACTGGCATCATTTTGCAGACAGTGTTACTGAAGAGCAGTCCCTTTGCTGAACACTTACATTGTTTATCAGGTAGACACCTCGACCCCTGGAAGAGGCCACAGGCTTCACTATCCATGGTCCTCTGTCCTTAGAATAGGTATCTGGTTAAAAGAAAACAGCATAAGTTTGAAACGTCTTCCATTTTGCTTATTTACAGAGGAGCAAGAATCAAGAATGTTGCCAACAGTAAAAGCTTTAGAGAACTTCATGAGGAGATCAAAATCTACTTTTTTGATGTCCTATCTTACCCCTTGGGACTCACTGCAGTTATTACCATCCCTGCCTGAAGCCCCTCCTGCTGCTCCAATAGATTCATTTCTCTCCCCTATGTATCCTTTTATCTCCCAGATATTAGTCAGGGATATTGTGAAGTTGATCATCCACAACACTGTCCAGAAAAAAAGCTCAATTCTAGAGCCTTAAGCCCACATCAGCTTCTTGTGGACTTACACAGGCATGGAATAAACAGCAGAAATTATATAAAGAAATCATGGGGGCCTTTTCCACTGTCTTTCTAGCTTTCTCTAATTTTGTTGCCTTAACCAGTGGCATGGTCAACAGGCTGGGATATTAAAAGTAATTCCCTTCCCCCCATACAGTTATTTTACTTTAGGTCTGGGCATCATCAGGCATTCACTTACTGCAGAAGTCCTGGTACTCTGTCGGGAGGATAAAAGTCTGAGGTAAGATATGGAATGTCTTGAATCCATGGGCCAGCTGCATACGACTGACATTCTTGTACAGTCTGTCCTTTCGTGTCAGTTCATATGACCTGAAGATCCAAAATAAGAGACTGACTTTTTTTTTCCCCCCACATAAAAAACCCACATTACAGCAATCCTTCGTCCCAGCTACTAAAGCACATGTAGCCGTATCAGGTGTCTAAACCCTAACCTGCACCTACTCTTCAGTTTTACTGTCTCCATCCTATGGTCATATTAATATCCATCCTCATTTTTAGCACCTCTTGCAATTTCCAAGACAAACTGAAGCCCAGCAAACTGTTATAACGATGTTGGTAAACTTAAAACAGGTGAAACATACTTAGTTACTGTATCCGTAACTAAGAACCCAAAGGTCCAAATACTTTACTTATACCACCAAATAAAGAAAAAAAAAAATCAAAATCCAGTATTGGGGCTACAGACAAACACTTCAACTCACATACTATCTCCCTAAAATTCCAAAGACTATTTAGAATGAAGACAGTATGCGGCACAGGCCCAGTACATTGAGACTTTACGGTATCATGTATAGTTTATTTTTTTAGAGCTATCTATGTTCAGATTTTTGTAAATCATCACAAAGATGTTCAGCAAAACATGGCATCAAGGCCTTACCTAGGGAAATGATTGACTTTCTGAATATCTGTAAGAGAACGCAGCAAGTAGGGCTTCAAGTGTGATCCCGTCCACATGAGATTATAATCACTGCTATTAGGGTGCACCTAAAAAGCAACACAAAAGCACAACATACAAAAACATAGAACTAATGAAAAGCACCATCACTTGTCCTACAGACTGTGAGCTATTGCCTGTGAGAGCAAAGCAATTCTAGTTTAAGACAATCTCCTCCTACATCCATCTCTCATATTAGGGCAACTCTAGCCAGACTCCTGTCCTAAGCCACTGTACAGTGGTGCTGGGAAATAATGACATCATATTTTTCTAAACAAACTTGTGGTTTTGTTCTTTTTATAGACTGGTTAAGCCCAATTTGTAAAGCATTTTAGATTTCTTCACGGAACTTGTGAGAACCAATTCCTTAACTTGGTGTTACTCAGAAGAAAATCCACCATACACACACCCTTCTCAAACTGTCATTAGACGCATATAGGACATTCTTTGAAGTAAGACAAGTGCTAGAAGAGAAACGTGAAACACTACATCAATGTTTCTGTGAGCTTGCAAAGGCTGAGAGATTAAATCCTTCGGATCTTCCCAAAGGTATGAGATGACACTTTAAAAGTAAGTAGACCAAAACCACATGGAAACTTCAGCATCTCTTTTCCCCTAATTTTTGCAGGCTTAAGTCTAAAGGGTATTCCTTTGAGAGAGCAAAATCATGACATGTTTCCTGTTTGACTGGCACAGTATGTAAAAAATAAAAACCAACCAAACCCTCAAGGGGGTCCACAGCAACTGCCTGGTTCTCACTCTGCAGAGAGAAAAAAAAAAAACAAACAAACAAAAAAACAAAACCAAAACAAGCAAACTACAAAACAAAACACACAAAAAAAAACCAAAAACGTAATTATCATCACCACCTCTCAGCCCAGCACAGAATCAAATCTGAAGTTCGTTGCCCTCACCTCATGGAATCCATGGGCAGCCAGAATGCTTCGAACCAGACGGCTGTCTGTTCGCACAATCTTATAGGACAAGCGGTAGCGCTCTGTTTAGAGGGCAAGAGACACGATATTAGAGTCTGCACCTAGAAGAATAAACCACTTACCTATGCTACCAAAGAAGACAGAAGAGCACCATAGGACTCAGGACAGTACAGCTGCACTTAATCCACAGTGGAGCATCCACACAGCAGCAGAACACAACAGGAAAAGGGTGATAGGAAATGCCTGTTCATCTCCTGGGACGTTAACTCCAGTGACAGCACTGAACTGACTTACAGCAATCCTTAGGTATAATATTGCTGCATCACTGAACCCTGTCATATTTAAAATAAAACACAGGACATCCTAACAAATGCCCAGGTATTTTTTTAAAAAACAGCTCTTTATATAGACTGCTTTATAACACTCCAAACATGATTTCAGTTCTTTCTTCTCTGTTCAAGATTGTTATTCCTTGCTAAAAGTAATCATACCATATGCCCTTCATTGACATGGCTAGCTTATATGATCACTTTTTAGACCTTGAAAACTCAAAATAAAACACTGAATTTTTGTTCACATCTCATTCACCTGTACTGCTCTTCAAATAAATAACTGCAAAAAATAGAAAATAAAGTAAATAGGACAAAGAAAGAAAAAGAGAAAATTGCTATTCAAGTAGAAAGTCATAAAAACAAAAGTAGTGAGCAGCACTGGAGATACAAGATAAACAGAAAGCAAGTAGCAAGACTAGAGGCCAGTTATACAAAAGGATGTGGCAATGCATAAAAGAGTTCAAAGCAAGTAGAGGTAGAAATTGCAACGCTAGAATGCGGAATCACTTGGAAAAGGCACTTTACAAATTGGTTCAGTAGAAAGATGAAGATCAAATTAAACCTCAGGAAATATGTTCTCCAAATAAAAGTGAGTCTAAAGAAAAGAGTAAGAAATATCATCATCTAGGACTGGACAAAGCTCAAGGAAATTTAACAAGTTGCACTATTCAGCAGCAGACTTGTTAAACCATGAAAAGCCTTTATCTCCTGCGAAAAAGCAGAACAGGTACCACACTCCAGTTAGGATAAAAGTTACAGGTACCATCAGCTTCTGTCGCCATTCAAGTATGTTTTGAACTCACATGAAAAGGATCAGGAGTTTTCACACACAAATCACCTTCTCCACCCCTTACCCCAATGAGACAGAAGCATTTCTGCTTGGATAGTATATTAGAAATGAGGGCACCAATTACCTAAGAAAGGGAGAAACAAAAGAAGAAAGGAGTGCCAGCATCTTCACAAAAAGAAGCTGAGCAGATTTTAGCTTTTCTCCAGCTCAGCACATCCAGATTTGAGTTCCCAGCTGTACACACCCAAAGTACTAAATCCTGGAACCCAGAGTGACTGTTTATAACAACTCTGCCTCTTAGAGGCCCTCCCTTATTTGGCACTAGACAGCTTTGGTCTCCTGACTCAAGTGCTGTCAGAGCAGCAATCGTTTTGCTCATGGCCTTACAATTATGAGGCTGTAGACGCAGGCATTTGTTACTACAGCTTACTATTGTTCTTACCACTGTGGGGCTGGCCGCTTTATTTCCCAGTGAAACCCTCTCAAAACTCACTGCAATGATTGTTTTTAAGTTCTTAGCTACCAAATAGTGAATTTATATTCCGGTCTTGAAGTTCTACCACGACCTCCAAATTTGATTTGCAAGCAGACAGTTCCAACTTAAAACACATCAGGACCCAGAGGAGGGCCAAATATAGACACTTGTCACAACCCAAAGACGTGATAAACATTCACCAACTGATCAAGCGTCTCTGAACATCTTAGCGCTCAGAGACAAGAGAAGTTTGTAATTTCCTTCATACCATGTCCTGTTCCCCACCACACAGAGAAGGGAACATTCAGGTAAGAGACTTCCACCTCATGCCTTCAGGCCAAAAGCTGGCACACAGTTGCACCCACCTCCAATTAGACGGAGGTAGCTGTCGTTGGTCAGAATGGCTTCAGCATGAAAGACCAAGATGGGGATCCGCCGGCAGCCGCCACCAGTCCACTTGATACACGGATGATCCCTGAAATGGCAAGATCTTATAAGCAACTGCTGAGCCTCATGCACGCAGCAGCTACTTACAGCGAGGACACAGCAATTCTCCGTGCTTGCCCATGCTTGCCCACCCAGCCTGCGGGCAGGACACAGGCAAACACGCTGTAGGAAAATAACAGAAGATTGTAAACACACTCAAGCGACGTGCAGCTGAGATGTAGAAAAGCACATGTATCATTCTAATTGTTGTCTATCCTTGTGCATTTGACAAGTACAACATATGTGTTCAGACAACACAGGCCGGTGATAAGACTTAGAGGCACGCTATCAAACACACTTGAGAATCCTGCCCTGCTCCGGGAAAGATCAAAGCACAGTGGTAAACTACACCTGTGCAAACCCCTGAAAAAACAGGCACCAACAGCAGGTTCGGTGATGCTCTAGCACGGCCCGAGCTCCACGGTGCCTGTGTCCCTACTTGTATGTCCCTGTCCTGGTGCTGCGTTGGGGATCCTCTGGTCGGCAAGGTAACAAAAACAAATTTACTCTTTGCATTTCAGCCATGGTTTTATGGTTGTTCCTGTGCCCTGCCTGTGCTGACTCACACATTTGGTGTAGTCGGTAGGACCAGGAATAAGCATGCCATGGCTGGCAAAAAAGTCAGAGACTAGAGAGGCCACGACAGTGACTCTCCATATTCTGGGATGGCCCAGTTTTGAGCACTGGACCCCTGTGGCCACTTTCCCGCCTACATTGTTTCCGCCAGAAGCATGGTCTGAAATAGATGATAGGGTGATGGTTACCCCCTAGACAACTGAAACAGCTATGTGCAGATTGCCATGGAAAGCACCATCAGATTCTTCTCACAAATTAGCAGGAAAATTGGGACGCTTACTGGTCTTAGAGCTCTTGACTGTGAAGTTGTCACATTATGGAGTAAAACGGGAGAAGTGGAAAAGGCAGTCGAGACTTTACAAGACGCAAAGGCGATTGCACAAAAAGTAATTACTACTCGAGCAGAGTGGTGCTACGGTTGCAATTACTGTAGAACGGTTGATAGCGCATACTGCTAATGAACAGGGGCGGGAGGAGTGAGTGAGTGGCTGTGTGGTGCTTAGTTGTCAGCTGGAGTTAAACCACAGCAGTCCTTTTTGGCACCCAACGTGGGGCATGAAGGGTTCAAGATAATGACACGTTTGATTGGCACGTGCTAGATTGAATTTATAGTTATTGCTGTTTAGCTGTTAACAGGCAGGCTTCTGTGCTTGCCATGGGGCTTGCTTGCCTCACTGTATGTTAGAGTCTAGGGCGCATTCATGGCTGCTTGCCGTCCTGCTTATCATCTTACTCTGCTGTGCCTGGCAGAAGTATCAAAACATAGCTTTTGAGAGGAGGGCCTGTCTCACTAAAACCCTTGATTATACTAGCACTCACGAATGCTACAGGTAACGTAGGCGTCCTAGAAAACACCTTGAAGGAAATTGGGGCTTTAACTTCAGGATCATCTGTGTGGGTGGTGGATAAAGGAAAGCGGGCAAAACCAAAAGGAGTTACATCACGGGTGATGAGGAAACAAACACGGAATGATCTTGTATGAGCTGGTATCCCACGATCAGAAATAGATGGGATCACAACATCAGAAATGTTTTGCCGATGGCAAAAGTTAGCACCTACCTGAAAAAGCCGACTGCCCCTGGCCCTACTGCCAACTCCATGCCCACTCTCCATCCCCACCTGCTACCTCAAGGTAATGCACTACCTGGCAAATGCCAAAACAGCAGAAATGAAGGTTTGGCAGGTCTCCCAAAATTGTTGAATCCTACTTGGCCTGTTCAAAAACCAGATGGCATTTAGAGAATAAACGTAGATTATAGAGAATTGAATAAAGTCACCCCCCCACACTTGCAGTTACAGTACCAGATGTGGTTACCCTTTTAGGAAAAAAAAAAAATCAGCAAAAATTCACAACCCTGGAAGGTGGTGACAGATCTTCCTAATACCTTCCTTTGAATAGCCATTATGTATTTATAAAGCATGCGCACATAATTGTACTATCTGTATGTAGCTACATTTAGGGGCATTATATAGGCCACAGGAAAAGATAAAATGGGGTCAGTGGGCCTTGAATACCTAGCAGGTTGATCACATGGGCTCCCTGCCCCTGTCAAGGGGGTGGTGATATGCGTTCACTGCTGTGGAGACAGCGTCAGGACTGTTTTTTGCTAAACCTACCAAATACGCTAATTAACATAGCACAATTGAAGCATTACAACAACTCATTCTCTCCCAAAATATTAACTACAGGGGAAATGAAATTATTTACACTGACAGATTACGTGGTGGGACTGGCACCGATTAGTCTAGTAGCGAAGATTCATATAATAATCCCCAAGAATGCAGTATGGTTCTGTACCCCAACTTCTCCTCTTATTTTACGTCCTTTGTTGACCTCGGATTCTCGAGTTCCTGTACTTCAGGTATCTTCAACAAATACCTGTGCCTTATCTAGAGGAGATAGCATTGGAACGGTGTTATTGGTGTCGCAAACCCAACATCGAATTGAAGTTCAACCTGAAAAAGCGCAAGTCGTACGTAGCTCTTCAATCTGCGTGGGCAATTACCCCACATCAGGTCATCAAACCCAGAGCAACATTAGCTGAAAGAGCTGGAGCAATGGCACACGTATTACTGGAAGGGGATGACAGTTCTCTTTTCCTCCCTTATCACAGGTTGGCTCATTGTGCTTTGTAGTCTGGTACTGCAAGCACAAGCCCTGGATACACGTTTGCAAGACCAACATGTAAATACTTGGATTTGATTGGCCTCTAGCGTAACTAAGTCATCTGCCTTTTGAATGGAGGGAAGATTAACAGCTGCAGATCTCGACAGCGTGTTTCCTTGGCGTGCCAACCTCAGTAGCTGTATTACAGAATTATACTATGCTAAGTGGTTTTTATATTAATGTTCGTCATTGCTGGTTTTTCCCTGAGTAGGTAACAGCCGAACGCCAAGGAATATTACCAAAAATCAATTGTTGGTGGACTGTCTCCTTCGATACCATAAACACTGCTCCGATTTTGAAGGCATGTGTTGCTTCAACATAACTGATGAACCAGCCAGCATAGAGGATGACATTCAACATCTCCCGGGCTTAAAGTATCAAATGAAACAATCTACCTGACTGGCTGAGTGGTTTAGTTCCCTGACAGGATAACTGGGACACCTGAATCAAAGCATTATTGTAGGGATATGTTTATTACGTGCCTCTGTAAATTACCCTGCCCTACCTCCCGCAAGCCTAAACACCTCCAGCTTTGCCAGCCCCAGCAGAAGTGGTCCCTTGAATGAGGGGGTAGAAAGTGGGAAAATAACAGAAGATTGGTGAGGAGGATTGTAAACACACTCAAGCAACTTGCAGCTGAGGTGTAGAAAAGCACATGTATCATTCTAATTGTTGTCTATCCTTGTGCATTTGACAAGTCCAACATATGTGTTCAGACAACACAGGCCGGTGATAAGACTTAGAGGCACCCTATCGAACACACTTGAGAATCCTGCCCTGCTCTGGGAAAGATCAAAGCACAGTGGTAAACTACATCTATGCGAATCCCTGAAAAAACAGGCACAAACAGCGGGTTTGGTGATGCTCTAGCACAGACTGAGCTCCACAGTGCCTGTGTCTCTGTCTTGGCACTGCTTTGGAGATCCCTCGGTTGGTGAGGTAACAAAAATAGATTTACTCTTTGCATTTCAGCCATGGTTTTGTGGTTGTTCCTGTGCCCTGCCTGTGCTGACTCACACACACGTGCTAGGTATCCTTGGTACTCCTCAGCTATAAAGGGAATCTTGCAGATCATCCTCTAGGTTGGTCTTGTCAGTCTAAGTCAGAGTTCTGTTTAATTTGTATTTATTTTACTGAGTGTAATTTGGGAGAAACTCCATGAATTTTCACAGCTACAGTTCTCTGGATTGATAGCCTGAAAACAAGATCTATAATTCAGGATAAACCATAATTGCCGGTATCCACACAACCAGACCTTACAATGCAGGTTCCAGTCTCCAATTTAAGAACTGCAAATCAGTGCATGCTGCCTGGTTGTAATCCTGGGCTCTAAAGTGCACCAAAAGGCACTCATGCAGAGTTTGAGAGACTAGAACTGACTTCGCTCAACACAACAGATAAATTTGTGTGTTCTTCCTTTTTAATTTCTGCAAGATGCAGTAGAATGCAAGCCCAGAATTCAACAACGATGTCCCCAGCCAGCCACTCAAGCTACAGGTTCCAAAATACAGTGATCAGTTTGGTCCAAAACAACAAGGCTACATTGGGAACTATCATCTCAGAGGAATTAAGGACACATAAAAAAAAAATTAAGATAAGTCATATAAAATCCTAAGTTCACAGAAAGAAAACCTGCCAGCCTCCCTAAACAAATAAAACTCAGACTGCCTATTACTCACCGTGCAAGGAGATGGAACCATGAAAAAGTTAACAGAAAACAGATACTGAGGGGTTGGAGAGACATCTCTATCTACACAGACAAGAAGAAATATACAGACTGGCAGAGACGTACATTGTACAGGCAAATGCTTATGTGTAAGATCATTGTCTGACAAAGGTTTGGAGAAACTACACAAGGCAAAACGCTTTCTGCGCTTAGAACACAGGAACAGAGATAGATGCTAGGACATTCCGATGCTAGGACAAGTAAATACTCATAAGTGTAACCTTAGTCCTCTTAACCAAGTTATTACCATTATCATCCAGACAAATTTACTTCACAGCACCCCATCTGCTTCCATCACCTCTAAAGCAATTTTTTAAAAAAAAAAAAAAAAAATCAACTACTGAGATTAGTTGAGCTTCTGAAAGGGTCCCTTTCCCTGAGCTTCTCAGGTCCCTTTCAGGTCCCTTTCAGGGACCTGAGAAGCTTCCAGAATTTACACTATAGGCCAGAGCCTTACGTAAGTGGGAAATGAGCCGAGGCAAAAGGAGAGGAGTTTATGTTAAGCCTGTCCTGAGGATTTGCAGTAAGGCTCAATCCTCCAGGTGACAGTCATTCATTCCTAGCATGACCCTTGGTCACGTGATGCAGAAACACACTTACCATTACATTCTAGGTGAAGGCAGTTCTGAATCTTTCTATACATGAGGGTCTGGCAACTCCAAGCCAACTACTTGGTAGGAAGCAACATTCCTCTAAATGCCTTAAGTCACTGCAGTTTGCAGCTGGGCACTAAGTCACAATACCCACCCAAAAGAAAACAAACACAACATATTAAAGTAGGTCCAGCTGAAACAGAAAAGGGATTCCACTCTGGGAAAGAATAAGGGAGCAACTCCTTCACAAGCAAAGATAAAAGAAGTTACTAAACAGAGATGGAACAAACACGCACTAGTAAGTAGTAAGAACTCTAAGAGTTAAGTTCTCACAAGACAGTTTTTAAAAAAGGACATAAAACATTGTATATCAGTCTACTGTACAGTAGATTTCCATCTCTGCAGCAAAGCAAAAACTAAACAAAAACCTAAACAAACAACAAGAAAGGATATTTATTTCCTTCACTTTCTTAATTATCATCAAGAAAGTTCCTAGCTTAGGAACATGTCAGGAAAAGATCAATGAAACTACAGATTTTCAAGTAACCAAGGAAGAGCTGCATCTCCAGCTCTGATGAATATAGCGGTCTTCTAGGCTACAAATATAGGTAGCCTGCCTCAACAGGCTTGAGGCCCAAACCAACCACTTTCTGCTTTACAGGTAGGAGGAGGGTAAGGAATGCAACTGTTTTTTCAGATTAGCACAAATCCTGTAGGAAGTACAGTGAAATAGAGACAGTTAAGAGGTTTTTTTCCTACTTACTCCAGCCCGTCTACATCTTCCTCCTCCTCTTCCTCTGAGGATGAGCCGGTTTCCTCCAGATCTCGAGCCATCCCAATGGGCATTTCCTCTGCGAGTTTTCATACAGCCCAGTCTCAGTAGCCTCTGAGACTCCTTACTGCAGATTCAAGGGATCTTGCAAGAGCAGTTACCTGCAAATAAGGATTAAAAGCATGAATGCGGAGCTGACCAGGACAGCAAGAGGACTGAAGTAACTTAACTCCCACCTCCTGTCAATATATATTTCTCACAGGACTATCAACAAGCTTGTTACAGGCTGTAAATCACCTCCTAGCCCGGGGAGCGCAGGACGAAGCATCACCTCCCAGCAGAATATTCCACACCTACCCGTGAGAGTTATTCAGGCGCTTACCACTGAAGCGCGTCCCTGCCCTGCCCTGCCCTGCCCT